ACTGTTGACTTGGTGCTTTGTGACAAGAAAGGATTTTGATGCGGCCCGGATAATTGGTGATGAAATGGTCTTACGGGTACCGCTGCTGACAAAGGGATTCTATTTCCCTTCCTTGGTAACCACACTGTGCTTGATGAGAAACACCCCCACCAATCCTGCCGATGGAGATTTGCCACCCAAAGCAGCATTCAAAGCTTCTAGCATCAGAGTGGGCCGGGGAATAAGGACCACAATTGAGATAGATGACGAGGATAATGATCTGTTCCCTCTTGCTCCATCCAGGAGGTCCGCTGACAGTGCCGGACCATCTAGATACACTCATTCTGGGACTGGCATATCCAGATCACAGTCCACCAGGCCTATGTTGCGGTCAATGGCAGAAGAGATTGCAGATCTCCGCACCTCAGTGGATGGATTACACACAAGGATGGATGTTATGTCCCAGAGGCAATCCAGGACTGAGAGCCGATTTATGGCCTGGTTCCGTGCATTGGGGAGAGCCTGCCATGTCGACCCCAGCACTGTCTCCGACTCTGACTGAGTCTCAGGGAAGTCTTCTGACCCTTCTGCTCTTTACTTTATTTATATGACATGGGGACATGCCATGATTTTAAGTGTGGGGTGGGAGACTTGCTCTGTTTGTATGTTGTATTATATATAGCTGTAATGTAGTGTAGCGTTAGTGTTAGGTCAAAGTCGGAACTAATCTAAAAAAAAAAAACAAAGTTTGAGGACTCTTCCTGATGACGGACTATGTGGACAGTACTCTTGAGGGAAGTAGTCCATGTAGAATTTTTTTTATTTTCTTCTTTTAGGTAGTGTAGTACCTCCCCCTTGGTTTTTCTTTTGACCACGGTTCTTTTCCAAGGGTTTTTTTTAACCGGGTTAGGTAGATTTTTTTCTTTTTGTAGTTTTAGGATTAGATGGGTGAATGTCAGAATGTAACCCCAAATGTGTACACTTGCAAAAAGAACTTGAGAGTGGACGTCTAAGCTTGTTTGTGGACTCGTAAATCTACGCCTTAATTTTGCACATCTTGTCTTGCTTGAACACTCGTATGATTGTGTTGATGAACTGATTCGGAATGAGTTGCATGCTAAGTGTGTGTGAGTTGTTACTTGCATCCTATGCTTGCATATGATACCTAGAACTTGCCCTGTGTGTTTGCAAAGCGAAATAGAAGTCGTTTGGTCTTAGAGATGATTGAGGCATTTCTTTGTGCAACCCTTTATACTTGAGGATCCACCTGTGCATATTACCATAGTTAACCCCTTTGAGCCTGAAGCCTGTTCTTTGATAACCCTATAATGATCTAAATCGCTGTGTTTGAATAAGCTTAATTGTTTGAACCTTTACCTCCTAGAAGCACTTGAATCACTAAAGAATATACAAAAGTCAAAGTGTGGGGTGGGAGAGAGTTAGTGAAAAAAGGAAATCAAGAATGAAGGTTTTGATTGGTGAACTGGCAGTGTACAATAAATCTCTGGGAAAAAAAAGAAGAGAAGAAGCCAGTTGTACCTAAAGAAAAGTGGGGGTCACAAGTGAAACAAAATGTGGAATAATGATTGGGTTGAACATAAAGGTAAAATAAAAGGAAGTGTGTATTAAAAGTGCTTAGGGAGGTTAGTCACTATATCCAAATATATCCTACCCGTCACTTAGCCTACATTACAACCTATAAAGACCTCTTGATCTTTGACTGCATGGCTCGATTAGTAGAGTATTACACTAGGGGCAAGTTTATGGTGTGTCTGTGTGGCATGTGAATGCTCTTTGCTGAGAGTGAGTGAATTATTTCTATATATGGTTCCTTATTGTTGAATTTTATGTGTGTGGAACTTCTCTCAGATTTTGTTTATGTGAGGGCATGTGACTCAGGAAGAAAAAGCGAGTCTTCACTTCTGTTAGAGTAATTAGAGTGAGCACAAGTGTGTCTTGGCATGAGAGTCTGCATGTGAGATATGATTGTGCACTGCTTAGGTCGATCATTGATAATAGCAGGTGTGACATAAATTGGGGCAATGCATTGAACAGTTAGGCCTAGAAGTGTGGTTTAATTTTCTCGAGGACGAGCAAAGGTTTAAGTGTGGGGTGTTGATAATAGGTGAATTTGACTATAATCACACCTTAAATAATCACCTTCTTGTGTAGTTTTAATGCTAAAAGTGATAACAAAATGCTCTTATTAGTGCTTTTCATGATTTGCAGGTGATATATGTATAAGGAAGGCTAAGGAGCAGTTTTGGAGTCAAAATTGGAGAAAAGAGGCCAAATGTGTAAATTCCCAATGAAGCTACGCCCTGCCAGCCCTTAGGATTCAGAAAAATGGTTTGGCCGGGGTTCTACCGCGACCGCGGCAGAACCGCGGTGGAAGGCAGCTTCAGAACTTTAGAGATTCAGAGAGGGTGATTGGCCGCGGTTCTACCGCGACCGCGGCAGAACCGCGGCAGGCGCAGAAAAGTTCAGCGGTCAAAGTGTCAAATACGGGATTTTTAGACCTAAACCCTATTTAAAACATTAGACTTCGCCCAAGAGAATCATTATTGATTTTTAGGGTTTCTTAGCAAGGAAAACCATTGTGAGAGAATATTCCAAACATCTTTCTTCTTTACTTTTGATTTTTATGATGAATTCTATCTTAGTTTATTTTCCCATAGCCATGAGTAGCTAAATTCCTTGTCTAAGGTTTTGATGGAACCTATTGGGTGATGAACTTCTTGTTTATGTGAATACAAATTGCTAGTTTAATCTCTATTTGTTCAACTTCGTGTTTGTTGTAGTTAATTGACAGGATCCTCAATTAGCTGTGCCTATTTAGTGTGCATAACTTAGAAAAGAGTGCATATTTAGGGTATTGTTGAACAACACCACTCCTAGATTATTAGAGGAATCTATAATTGCGGGTTTAAAGGCGGGATTAGGGATAACGAAGCCTTGGGTGTAATTTAAAGTGAATCGTGCTAAATAAAGTAAGCTAGTGTATCTCGGGAGAGTGCAATAGTAAATTACTGTGATTACTCGGGAGAGATTTACGGTAAGATTAGCGTTCATGATTGATAGAGATGTGTTGGTAAATTTGTATTAGCATAAACAGAAGGGATTTCATCTATAGGGGAAATCATTGCCTTAGCTTTTTATCATAATTGTTTACAACCTTATTAGTTTAGTTTACAACTATTTAGTTACTTGCAAGCGTAGTTGTTAAAGAACATTCAACTGAGAATTGAATATTTGGGAAGCTGGTTCTGAAGAATTAGTGGGTCTGAAGATAGTGGTTGATAGGTTAACTCTCTGTGGATTCGACCCTGGCCGTAATACTCGGGTTATATTTGCAACGTCCGCAGAATCCTTTTTATAAGGCATAGTTGGGCGTGATCAATAAACATCAAACCTCAACTAATATAATATGCTCTTTTAGTATTATTGAACTAAAGCGCCATGAAATTGCTCGGTAGGAGTACAGAAAATCGCTCTTAAAATTGCAAATTAAAAGGAGAATTAATTGTCAACTGCAAGAATATTCATACCAATTTTTTTTCTTTTCAAATTTCGGTTTTGCCTGAACAAAATCATATATTTTTTCTTGAACGACTACCCTACAGATTTCAGTATATATTTTCTTTACAAATTAAAGATATCTTTCATTTAAAATTAAGTAGATGATGAAGACTTCAATCGCAAAAGACTCATTCTTATTGTATAAAACATCAGAATTATAGCCAGCGTGCACAAGTAGCTGATTCTGGGGAATATTTTTTGACAAAAGATCAACTATGTACATATAAAATAAAATTGGGCATATACTTTGGTTGTATTAGTCCTTATAAATCTCAATATCTCATTTAGGTATCAAAGCGGGATAATAGTTTGAGGCACCACAAACGGTAGTTGTGGAATGGATGAAATTTCTTCACTATTAATTAATTAGAGGTCTCGAGTTCGAGCTTTACGAATGAAAAAAATTTCTGGTAGGGAATACTTTCCCCTTTAGTGAGCATTATATCGTGTGAATTTGATTTAGTCGTGACTCCAATACAAACGCCTGATACTAAAAGAGAAAATAACGTAATAATTTCAAGGTCAAGATTATAAGTGTAATTCGTACAAGCGTTACCCGCAAGACCAACCATTGAAATGTCAAACAAATATAATGATACTTGATGATAGAAGGAACATAAATAAATAAATTAATAAATAATGTAAGATAAAGTCCTTAATTAGTACAAATTGAAAAGAAAAAAAGCAATGATCGAGAGGGTTGTCAAATCAAGGTTAAATT